CGGCCATAATCCTCAAGGCACCACCAAACCAATGCGGAAACAAACGAGAAATAGATCCAAACTGAAAAAGACGAGATTTTTACAAAAAAAGATCCCACCTTTATCACCAAACGAAGCCCTAGATGAACTTCCAAAGCGATCTACTCCTCCAAATAGCCCAAGCGTTGCCCGTGCTCTGATACCACTTGTTGTGACTGATGCTTTGAGAAACCAAACCAACGAACGCCGAGAGAAAGACCAAACAAAACACAAACACCAAGGTTTTACGTGGTTCGGCAAATTGCCTACGTCCACGGGGCAAGAAGGGGTTGGGTTTTCACTAATAGAGAAGGAGAGTACAAATTGAGATTACAAATCGCTCAAACGAACCAACTAATCTCACCAACAAATCTCTCAATCTCTCAACCAATAACCCTAACAAATAGCTCAGAAAGATCTCTCTTTTTCTGTGCTCCAAAACCCCAAAACTCTCCTCACAAAACCCTCAAATCGTATTGGTATTTATACCAAAACAGAAACCCAAACAGACTGCAAATAGGAACCTGAACTTTCCAAAAAACCCGTCATAAGTCGACTTATCAGTCTGCATAAGTCGACTTGGCAGAGCGAAAAACAGCAACTGGAGAAGAGATCATAAGTCGACTTATCAGACCTGATAAGTCGACTTGGCAGAGCAAAAAACCAACAATCCAGAGCAGAACGTAAGTCGACTCATGCACCAACATAAGTCGACTTACCATAAGTCGACTTATGCCTGTGCATGAGTCGACTTATGACGAAAAATCTGCTTTTTCCAATTCTTCTCCACATCCGGTCGACTGCCGAAGTCATCGCGGTCGACCATACGGCCTCCAAAATGTTCCCTTCGTCAATTTGCCTGAACTTCGTCGTCGTCGTTTCCGTTTCTACAATTCTCCACCTCAATGAAGTTTTTCCAAAACTGAGCTGACACCAACCAAATCAAACGTCTCACTTGTTACGTCAAGTACGAAGTGGAACAATTCACAACAAGTTGAGAACCAAATGAGAATGCGAACAAACTCTAAATATCAGTATCAACTCATCAAACCGGTTGCATCAAAATGACTGTCTAAGTATCATCTTGCCTAAGGAATCAAGGCTCACGTAGTTCATCCAAATGGTCGCAAACGACCTCAATCAACTAGAAGAATTCTCAATCCTTCACCAACCTTTCGATCATCAACACTAACCAATCTACAGCTGATCACGCCCCTGTTGGCCTCAAAGTGCAAAGACAAACTCTCTTCTAAACTTGCATCTCTCCCTACCAACTCTGTCTTGGAGCTTAACCCCTCAACTCTATATGTAAAAGAAATACAATTACCAACCATAGCCAAATTTGAGCTGTATCCACCCGCTGCACTCGAAATTTGATCCTGAACCTCCAGTTCCTGATCCTCAAACTCATCATCTGTATCAACATCAACTATCTGATCCCCAAACTGTGTCACCTCAGCTGGAATACCAAATAATACAGAATGATCTGGAGAATAAGGAGTAATCTCTATCAAACGTGAAGTGACATCACTCTCCACCCGTTACGATACATCTATGATCTGTCTAAAACTCTCCACCTGTTGAGAGTTAATAGGCTCCATCATCGAAGCCTCATCAAAAGTGACACTACCAGACCAACTATCCAATGGAGTTTTACCTCCAATTACAGCAGAGGGCAACCAGTAAATAATATGGCTCGAATATGTCAAAGTCTCAGCCTAGAACCTCTTCTACAAACTTCTACTTGACAACAAACACCGTTCCTTCTCCAGCAAGGCACGGTTCTTCAAATTTACCACCCCATCTAGTTGCCCCAAGATTTCTCTTCCATCAAAGTGTCTCAAAATGCCCTGAGCACGACACAAATACAAAAACAGTTCCTTCTTGTACTTCCTACCAAAATCAGAACGGAGTACTTTGCCTTTTTTGTCTGTCTTAGTCTCTATACACTTATTCCATCAGTTGAAGACTACTAGGACTTTACTCAAACGGCACGTAGTTGCAACTCAAAATTGCCTAGAACAGTCATCAACAAAGAAAACCAGATATCTATTACCTCCTAATGATGCCTCCTTAGAAGGTCCCCAAACGCCTACGTGAACTCCATCTAGAAGACCCTTAGCTCGATGAATAGAAATGCCAAACTTTACCTCGGTCTTCTTGCTTATATCAAAATATTCACTGGACTTCAAACTGCAGGTCAATGCACCTTTCTCCAATCAATACTGGAATGGCTCGGCCTTAAATGTCGTAGTCTAATCAAATCAATAGAAGTCGCCAGTTCTTCACATGTAACCGTATTTCCAATCAAGTAGTACAAGTTACTCCTCCTGACATCCTTCATCACAATACGAGAGCCTCTCACAATCTCGAGAACCGCGTCCTCAATACGAACTTTCAGACCCTTTCCAGCTAAAACTCCAATCGAGATCAGGTTCTTCCTCAAGGAAGGAACATATCTCACACCATGTAACTCTCTAACTATCCCAGCATACATTTTGATACAAATTTTACCTATTCTAATGATCTGGCATGCACGGTTATCACCCATGTATACCATACCACCATCCAGCTTCTCAAAACTAAAAAATTATTTCTTTTTAGGACACACATGATAGGTTGCACCACTATCCAACATTCATTCGGATTCCTCCGAATAGCAACCTGTAGGACTGATAGACAGTGAAAAAATAGATAAATCAAAAATATTACCATCCGATTCGACGATGTTTGCTTCCGATGATGGTTGTTTCTCTTTTCCCTTCTGCTTGTTCTTCATCTATTCGTTGAGCTTTAGACAATCTTTCTTCTAATGACCAGTCTCTTTACACCAAGTACACTGATCTTTGCCAACTGTAGGATGTCTTACTCTAGACTGCGACTTCCAATTCTTTCGATTTGGACTTTTCCCTCTTACGGTCAATGCCTCTGCTATTGTGTCGTTTGAAGACTCCTTATCTTTCTTCCTTCGCTGATAATTCACAAGAACAGTGGTAACCTCACTCTACGAAAGGGACACATTCTCATTGATTAGGATTAGAACGAATGTCTCATATTCCTCATCTGGAAAGGAACTTAACAACAACAATGTCTTGTCCTCATCCTCGATCATAACATCCACATTCGACAAATCCGCAAGAAGTTTCGTGTAGCTGTTCATGTGATCACCAATTGAGATTCCCTTCTTTAACTGGAAACGATAAAATCTCCTCTTCAAATGCAAACGATTTTCAACACTCTTTATCAAATACTTGCTTTCATAAATCTCCCAAATCTTCTTTACAGATGTTTCATTGATCACATCATATTTTAGATCCTGTGTTAAACAAGACCCAATAACTCCACACGTCGTCTGATTCGTCTTTTTTCAAACCTTTCTTCAATATCATCCGGTTTGCCATCCAATTCTAAAGTATCCTCCAAATTTTACGCGTTCAACTCATCCAAAACCTCACATCTCCATAAACCAAAGTTGTTTGTGCCATTAAAGTTCTCCACATCGATCTTTGTAAAGTGAATATTCAAACTTTGAATGGTCTTCACGTCAGAAGTACCACTCTCAACACCCGATGCATCTTCTTTCCCATCCATTTTCCTCAAAACACCAACAAACTAATACGGAACAAACTGAAGAATAGATCCAAATTGATAAAAGATAGATTTTTTACAAAAAAGATCTCACATTTATCTCCAATTGAAACCCTAGAAGAGCTTCCAAAGCCATCTACTTCTCCACCAAACCCCAAGCGTAGCCCGAAGCTCTTATACCACTTGTAGTGCGGCGGCACAACGGAATCCACAAAGTTGCCGAGAGAGAAGGCACACACAGAATCAAATCAAAAATAATAGCACAAACTCAAAACAGTAGATTTACGTGGTTCGGCAAGTTGCCTACGTCAACGAGATAAGAAGGAGAGGGGTTTTCACCATTAGAGAGAACACAAAACTCAAACCCTAAAATTAATCTCTCAAACAAAGCTCTCAACTCTCACCAATTTGCTCTCACAAGAAAGCTCAAAATCACCCCTTTATCCCTCTCAATTCAGAACAAATTCTGATCAATATAAAACCTTAAAATCGCGTTTTAATATATATCAAAACACAAACCCAAACAGAACAGGAAACCAAGTCCAGGCCTAAACCCGACTCGCGATCGACTGCCGATAAAGTCGCGGTCGACCGTGGCAAACGACAGAAACCAAAAATCGATTACAAGGTTTGGCGATCGACCGCGGCGGTCGACTGGCCGGAGTGCAGAAACACACCCTGTACTCGTGCATGTTTCCGGTCGATCGCCGAAGTCATCGCGATCGATCATACAGCCTCCAAAATGTTCCCTTCGTCAATTTGTTTGAACTTCATCGCCATCGTTCCCGTTTCTACACCCTGCAATTTGAAGATGCTAACTTACTTTTGGGTTTTTCACACTCCACATGGATATGCAAGTTGGATAAACATTTTTTGGAAGAATTATTTCCTTCCACGATACAACATATATGTAAATGTATAATACACAATGTAAAATAGGAAACGATGAAGATTGGTGAGTACACATGAAGTTTGTTCTTACAAACCAGTACTTTCGTCATCCTTCATAAAAGAGATATTATGATCCTCCACCTCCATATGATGTCTAATGTACTTTAAGAAGATCTAATTAGTTTTAAGTATTGTCTGACCTCGAATTCCAAATATCTATTTTTTAGGGTCCAACATCCAAATTAAAATCGCTTTCTGTGAACACAGAACAAAAATCATTGCGCAATCCTCAAAACACCAAAGAAAACTGCATTTAGCCCACTAAATTGAACTTGTCAGTGATTAATCCTAACTCCTTAGCTAGAACCGCAATTTTGTTGCTGCTACAACGACAAAATCTAAACTTGATGAAGAAATCATCAACAGGATTGCCTTTATCATCACCAAATGATACCACATCCAAAAAAAAAGCAAAAAATAAAAAATAAAAATAAAAATCGAACCTTGGGCTTGTTCTGGTTTCTGAGAAGAAGCAGAGGAACCCATCACAGAAAACAATCGCAACTCCGACCTCTTGCGCTCGTTCAGAGCTCGGGATTTGAAGAGAAGAGATGGGGTTTTGGGGCGCAGTGGCGATGTGAAGGATGACAGAGCTGCAGTATTTGATGCAAGACTAAATCTTGCGGCCATTGTTTCCATAAAAAAGGGATATTTAAAGACTTAAGCAATAGCTTCCATAAAATAGGGATTTTTAAAGTCTTAAAGCAATTATTTATGTTTAGGTTTGAGCTCAAATATGACGGCCACCAAATTATTTCCATGGTCACTAGCTTGTGAACGTACGTGGCTTTTGACTCTGGATGCTCTCGATCATTCTAAAGATATGCCCATTTTATTTTTTTTGTCATTTTCAGAGAACAATCTTTTTATTTTGAATTTTTAATATTTGCATTTGAATGCTAGTAGAAAACATATTAAAAATTACAATTCTATCTACAAACATCATTTACAACTTTATTCTTTCAGGAAAAATACTAGCTAGAATATTTTGACTTTACACGAATTTGAAATTGGACATGTGCACTTAGGGTAGGGCGTGGGTCGGGTCGACCCGCGGGCTAATCCGGCCCAGCTCGACTTGGGTCAAGATCCAGCCCGACCCGTAGTAGGTGGGGCCCGACTTAACCCATGATATATCCGGGTAAGAGCCGGGCTGAGTCTAGTCCTAGACACAAGGTCAGAGAATTAGGTTAGCACAGCCTGATCCACCCCGGTCCATAATACATATTTTTAGGAAAAATTATGTTAATGCCCCAAATTTGAGAAGCCTATGTGACCCAGCCCCTCTTACTTTACCAATGTGCTTAAGCCCTCAATTATTAAAAAATTATGCCCCAGCCCCTCCAGCTCATCTTTAGCCCAATTTTATATGTATTTTACCCAAAACCTAACTTTACTCCTCCTCAAAATCACTATTATCTCTCTTCCATCAAAATGCTCATGTCTTCTTTCTCCTCTTCATCCCCTATCCTCATTTGAAAATCCAAGCACCCTTAACCATAGCAATCTCACATCCTTCTCCTCCCGCTGCAATCACTCCTCCCCCGCTACCACCCTTGACCTCCTGATCCTCATTCCCTCATCCTTTGCTCCTGCTCCTTCCTCATCCTCTCCTCTGTCTCTCGCCTCCTCTGAGTCCTCTCCCAAGTAATTCTAACCTCATCCACAAACCCTCTCTCCTTCCTCCTCCTCCTCCTCCACCCCTCCTCAGAATCTCCTTATTCTGCTCCCACAAGTGCAAAAATCCTAGGTGCAAGGGATTGAAGAAGGCACTAAAGTTCGGTGTCCAGATTTAGACCGAGGATTGCGTGAGGGAGAAAAGGAGTAGAAGGAGATCTAAGATCTACCGTGGAAAGGTGGGCAGCAAGAGAGGACCCCATAATGAGGTTCTACATGCCGAGCTGAGAAAGATGGTGTCGGTTAATGGTCGGTCTGTGCTGTTATTTCGAGCGAGGTGCAGGTGCCCGCTAGCAAAGCTGGAGGTGTGGGGCCGAAGAAAGGGCTGATGCAGAATTGGAGGTTAGGGTTAGGGTTTTGGCACTTCAAGGCAGTTGGATGCAATAAAGGTGTTTGATGAAATGTCGCACAAGAAAAAAGAAAATTATTATGTTCTATAACTTAAGTCTATCGAGAACCTTGAAGTAGCAACTGTAGATAGAGACGTCTACACTATCACCCAATTTTTGCGTAGACCACTTATAGTTTTATTGTTAATGATAGACCCCTTCAGGCTTTAGTGAATTTTTTTCTGAGTTTTTTAGCTTCAGAGAAAATTGTTTTTAGCATATAGACCTCCCGAGAATAACAGAATCGAATAAAATTCACTCTGGAGTTATATATGCAACAACAAAAATAGATATAAGAATTGAATAGAATTCACTCTAGAGCTATATGTGCAACAACAAAAATAGAGGATCTATTTGCAATTGGACACTAGTACATATGACATATTTCTCAATTTATCCCAAAAAAAAAAAAAATTCAACTTTTAGTGTATGTCATGAGATGAGCACGTGGGCTTCCGCATGCAATGGTGTTGACCATCATTTTTTTCGAACAGAGCACTTCATTTTTATTTATTTACTTTGGAGTAAAGAACACTCCATTTTTTAAGTAATAGAGTCTACAATTTATTATTTGTCATTCTGCCTTGTTTTATTGGCTCTTTCGGTATTTAGCGCAGACCTGCTCAAAACTAAGCAAGTTCAAAGCCCAACTTTGATCCCTTCAAAGGGGTTGTTTGCGTTGCTGTATGATCTCTTCGATTTCTCTTCAGCTGCCATTGAGACCCTTTCGTCGGAGCAAGTCCTTCTCCACTCTGAAGGTATGATTCTCTTCGCTCAGATCTCATACATTGCGATGGTAGTATTACGTGCTTTTATATGGCTGGATTAATTTGTATTGGGAGTATTAACTTCTGATTGAGTTGGGAGCGTAATCTTATAACATTTCTCGAATTTTTAACTTGGGGCGTCGCAAGGAAATTAATGCATGTCCAAAGTTTCTGAAGGTTTGATTATGGATGGGTATTTGGGTCTGCTGAAGTTGATGAAGCCCTCTTTATGAAAGAAATATTATGATATATACCAATGAGTAATTTTTGCATAGTAAGGGGGGATCATTGTTCGTATTGATTTCAAGAATGTGACCTGAAAAGCCATTGGAGGGTTTGGATGACGCTATTCATTTGATTTGTTAAAAATGCCAATGAGTAATTTGTTTTGTATTGAGACTCAATGAGTACAATACGTGAGACTCAAACCACCACCAGAATACTAGGCACTTTTACACTAGATTCCCCTCCTTATAAATACATCCACACTTTTGTAAATTCCCAATATGGAACAAGTAAATGGGGCACCATCACCACATTACTGACCGATTTTGAAACTACTATGGATGTCCACAGTTAGGATTTATCCTTGTATTTCAGGTAATCCTAGTTGGACTTAGATTGATGATTGAATTTTATTTGAAAGAATCAATCTGGAACCAGAGCACGGTCAATTAGCAGCGGTTTCATCTTTAGGAAAAGGTTCAATCTTGCGGCGTGGAAATAGAAATTTCTTTAGTGATGAAGACCAATGTTACATTACACGTTGGGCGCTTCTAGGCGTCGGACTTGGCACCCAGCGCTTAGTCGCCTAGGCGGACGCCTAAGCGTTTTCTGGGCGTTTTTTTTTTCTTTCTTCATTTAAGTAGTGGTCGATGAGGTTTTGCTGAAGGTTGGAGAGGTAGTGGAGGTGTTCATATTTGGAGGTTAATGGAGTTTGGAGGACGTGTAGGCTACGACACATAAAATCACAATCAAACCTACAGGGTGCAATCTACGTAAGCAAACAATGCTCTCCTAAATGCTCGTAAAATCTAGGTGGGCAGCCTAAATACCGCCTAAGCGCTAGGCGCTAGTTAGGCGGCCTAGGTACCGCCTAGGTCTAGGCGTACACCTAAGCGGAGTAGGCGGAGGTTTTTTAAAACAGTGATGAAGACTAAGATTAAGAAGTTTGATGGTAAGAGGGACATTTAACTTTGGCAAAAAAAGGACGGAGGCAATCTTGATTCAACACTATCTAGACCAAGCTTTGCTAGGAGTTAATAATAATTCGACAAAAGATGACAAGTGGTGACTTGGTGAAGATGGATTAGAAGGTGCAGAGTACGGTTTGACTCTTTTTTATTTGTGAAGTGGCGAACAACTGGATTGAGGTGAGAAAACCACTATTAGGATGTGAAAAAAAACTTGAGAAGTTGTACGTGGCCAAGAATTTATTCACCAACTTGTACTGGAAGCAGCAGTTCTATGGACTACAGATGAATAAAGGTACACCGTGTTGGAGCATGTGAGCACCTTCAACAAGATCAAGACCAAGTTAGCGGCAATAAGGTCAGATCTTGAAGATGTGGAGAATGCGATGATTTTCCTAAACTCTCTTCCGGGGATTATCAACATCTAAAATACAGTGTTGTAGGCAAGGAGACAATCTCCATGGATGGTGTTCAAGCGACACTTCTTATGCAGAAGTTTTACTGATGACCGAATGTTGGTGATGAGTCAGGTGCTGGGTTGGTAGTAGATATGAGCGGGAGGAGATCTTCAAGTAGGACAAATTCACAGGCTACGTGGTGTTACTTTGCCAAAGGAAGAGTCATGTTAAGAAAGACTGCTTCAAACGATAAGCGTGGCTGATGCGGCAAAAGACGGAGGATTGGACTATAGCCCAATCATCATATGCAATGAGTATTATGAAAAGTCAACTAGATGATGCGTTGGCGGTTCCAAAGGATAAAATTCAATGAGTAAAAGTATTGTTAGTTTCCAGAAAGGAGAATTTTTTAAAATATGTTAGTTCTAATAAGTATTTAGCAAAACCGATTATTTTGCTAAATATTTAGCAAAACCGATCTCTTTTTGGTCAACTGACCAAAGCTAGCTAAAAAGAAGTCGGTTTTGCTGAATTTTATTTTCGAAACACACAGAACTAATAGTCCTATTTGTTTAGTGACTGCTAATCACGCCCTAAGCAAATTGAAAAAAACCCAGGAGACTAGTAGTCGTGTGGGTTTTTTCTGCACGGTAACAACGCCCTCTTCTCCCTCCACCACCATCACCATCTTCTCTCCCTCCTCCCTCCATCACCACCACCACTACTTCTTCTTCTTCTTCTTCTTAACAACCCCTCTCCCCTCCATCATCACCATCTTCTTCTTCTCCCCCCCCCCCTCACCACCACCATCATCATCATCATCTCCATCACCACCACTTCTTCTTCTTTCTTCGCCAGTTGGAAAGCCGCAGGGAGGAGGAGGGAGAGGGAGGGGAGGAGGGGGGGAGGGGGAGGGAGAGTAGAGCACGGAGGTCAAGAGGGGAGTATTAATCTTAGTGGTTGGATTGAGTTGCAAAAATCAAGCAAATTATTACAATGTGGTGCCTCTTTATCTGATTTTCTAGAGGATGAACTAGGATGGGGATTAAGATTGGAGGTCATTTCAATCAGCTTCATCACATCCGTTGAGTACATGTGCCAGCTTGAGCAGAGCACCAATGCAGGGGTTATTATTGTGTAGAAAAAAATCCATGGGACTACTAGTCCCGTGGGTTTTTCTCGATTTACTTAAGGCGTGATTAGCGACCATTAAACACATCAGACTACTAGTCTCATGTGTTTCAAAAACAAAATACAGCAAAATCGACCTTTTTTTTACCAGCTTTGGTGAGTTAGCCAAAAAAAGTCGATTTTGCTAAATTTTTAGCAAAACGATCGACTTTGCTAAATATTTATCAGAGCTGGCCTATTTTTTAAAATTCTCCTTTCCAGAAACAACACTTCTTGTGGTGGTTTGGGTATTGGATTGTGAACATCGACACATATTTTTTCCCATATAAGTCTGTTTGACTCTGTGTAAGGAGTCAAGGAGACTATCTAAAGGGCGGATGGCACGAGATGTGACATCAAGGGTGGTGGCAAGAAGAAGAGGAGCATTGTCGCCTTGCAAATGTTTGGTTAGTTCTAAAGGCAAGACAAAATCTGATATTATTAGGGGTGCTTGACCCTGTAGGGTATCAAGCCAAAATGCACAAAAGAAGTCATCACTATAAACCATACTATATACCATGGTAAGAAGCTCATCCTAGTAGAGAAGAAGTGTGGAGATAACTTGTATCGGGTGTCTGAAGGGATTGGTG